GCACAGTGACAACCTAGACATTCTTCCTTTATCTGCCTCTGGTAACTGCTCCTTACTCTCACCTTCCTTATCTTACTGGCAATCCCATCTTGGAAAATGGAACTTCAAACCCTCCAGGCTGACCAGCCACTTCTCCAGACCTTCCTGGTGGCAGCTCTGAGTGAGAAAGATTTGCCTCTGGTCAAGATAACAAAGTGTGTCAAGCCTTCCTCAGGCAGACAAAGGAAACAAACACCATGAAATACCTTAGGACCCCTCTGAGAACTGTGTTGGTTTGCTAAGGGGTTGGCTGGCTAATTAGCTTAGTGGTAGCACTGGCAAGGCCTTGGGTTCTACCGAAAAAGGAAAGTTTCCTCAGATAATGGCACTCAGTGTAGTCAACTATATCCAGGGTCTCACTACATAGCTCTGGCTCTTCTGGAACTCACGATGTGCCCAACCGCTGGGAGGGATTAAAGGTGTGCACAAACACACAATTAAATATCTAAATATCTCAGGCCCACACCCCCACATCTGGGCATTGTGTTTTCTTCTTTGGTAAGAATTTGTGCCTTTGGTCTTGGATCTAGAGGAAAAGGTCCTTTTTTCTTTGGTTCCTTTGTGTGTCTTCATGAAATCCACACTGGTCCTGGGGCCTGGAATTTCTGATTCTCCTGTCTCAGCCTCTGAGTCTTGAATTTATGACCATCCTGCTTCCCCTCATTCAGGGATGACATGCCAGGCTAAAGGAACACCTGGCATGGTGTGGTTGCATGTTCTTGTAATTCTAGATTTTTTTCTTCTTTTTTGAGCCTGCCCTGGAGCTCTGTAGAACAGGTTGGCCTTGAACTCAACAGAGTATGGCAATTTTCAAAAAGATGTATCTGTTTTATACATCTGTATGTATGCATTCATTTTAATGCCATTCCTATTTGAATTTTAATTGTCAAAAATTACAGCTGGATATATTCTTTTTTCTTGACCATTATTACATGTAGTCAACACCAGGTTGTAAATAATGTGCAATCAGTTTTAACACCAGGCATCTTCGTCATCCCAACGTGATTTTGTACGCCAAAGCACTGGACCAGTAAATTGACAGAAATAATTTTAGAGGTGTTTTTGATGTTCCAACATGTTCTTTCTAGCCCACACAGCCTAGGCTGTCCCTCAAACTTGGCAATCATCGTGGCCGTCGACTCCCAGGTAGTGAGATTATAGGTCTTAGCCAGGATACCCGAAGTACCAGTGTTCTTGGTTTTGAGGTAGGGTCTCAGGTAACCTAGGTGGACCCCTTTTCCTCGCCTCCTGGTGGCTGACATTACAGGCACGCACAGGCTTTCTTTTTCTTAAGCTCCTCCCACCAGTTGGAAGGATGGGACAGAAGGAAAAATCGACCAGCTTGAGGTATATGGCAAGACTCAAAAAGAAACCACACAGGGGACTAGAAAGATGTGGTTACGAGCACTTCCTGCTGCATTCTCGGTACCTGTAATGTCAGCCGGCTCACAGCCACCTTTAATTCCAGTTCCTGGGGATCCAGTGCCTTCTGAATTCTGAGGGGAATACAGGTGTTCACCCCCACCCCTTACATCTAAATCAGGTTTTTAAATTGCATTTTATGCCATTTACTTTCGGTGTGTGTTTGTGGGGGCGGGGGCAGGACGTTGTTAGACCTGGCTGGTCTCAAACTCAGAGCTGCCTGCCTCTGCCTTCAGTGGGCTGAGACTGAAAACATGTGCCGACATGCCTGGCTGTTGCCTTCAGTCTGTGTGTGCCACATGTGTGTTTGGTGCCTTTAGGGGTCTAAAGGTGATGTCTCTTGGACTGCAGTTACAGATGGCTGTCAGCCATCTCTCCAGCCCTGGGTGTCATATTTTTTTTAAAATTTATTTATTAATTATTCAGTGTTCAGTCTGCATGCCAGAAGAGAGAACCAGATCAAATTACAGATGGTTGTGAGCCACCATATGGTTGCTGGGAATTGAACTCAGGACCTCTGGAAGAGTAGCCAGTGCTCTTAACCTCTGAGCCATCTCTCCAGCCCCCTGGGTGTCATATTTTAAAAAATACTTCTTCTTGACGTCTTTTTCTCATTGAAGTGGGGCCCTTACAGTTTCTGCAATTCACTATGTTACTTTGTTCCTGAGCAGTGTTGCATTGTTCTGTATACTATGTTGTGTTTGTCCATTATGTTCTTTCTGATTGGCATTTGAATTGTCTCTTTCCCTACTATGAAGAAACCCATTGTGAAGATTTTTATTCAAGGTTTTATGTGCAGAGGGATGGAGCAAGTGCTCTCATTTTCCTGGGTAAATGGCAGTAGAGGTGCTGAGTCATGGCACTATTACGACTTTCCCCCAGCTTCAGTTGCTGGGCAGCCTAAGTGGGACCTGGCAGATTTTGCCTTTGGTCATTCTAAGCACAGCTACATCATTTTAATTCTTAACCCAATGTGTGCTTGGATTTCTTGAGGCAGGGTTTTCTGTAACACTCCTGGCCAGATCACAGGCAGACCACAACATCCTGAGTCTTCTAGCTCTTAGCTGTTTTTGAGATGAATTCTTGATGTTTGGTTGGCCTGGGAATAATCTCCATAGACCTGGTGGTCTCTTACTGGAGGCTGCCTTTATCTCTGTCTCCAAACTGTTCTGGCTACAGGTGCAGGCCACCACGCTGGGATTAGGCTACAGAAAGGATTTCAAGTCTGGCACCACCTTTATCCTGGGAAGGGGAGAGATGGTGGGTCTCTGAGTTGAAGGTCAACCCGATGCCAGTTCCAGGACAGCCAGAGGGAGGGGATTTTACCCACAACCTTGATTGCACCAGCCTCCTGCTTCACCTTCCAGAAAGCCAGTATTGGAGGTGAGAGCTGTCACCTCTGCCTCACGGTGTAGTTATAGACTACCACCTTAAGACTTTATGTTCTTGAATCTACTTAGCTATTTTAAAATTCTGAGGTCTGTTTGTAGCTTATAAATGAGGGATAGGATTTTGCATGTTTCTCCCTTGGAATCCCTTCCAATAAAGGGAGTTTTTTTCTCACATTTTTCCACCCTCAGCTTAAATTTTTCTTTTCTTTTCTTTTTTTTTGTATTATTGTTTGTCTTTTTTAAAATTTTTCTTTATTTTACATTCCAACCATTGTTCTCCCTCCCATCCTTCTCCTTGCCCCCCTCCTCCCCTCCAACCCACCCCATCCTTAAATTTTTCTTAAAGTAAACTGTCACTACGTACCCTAGGTTGGCCTTGAGTTGCCTTCCTCCTGGTACAGACTCCTGGGCTTGCTGATAGAGCCATGCTTTGCTAAGAAAGACAGCTGCATTTGTTTGAATAGAGGTGGAGCCTATATGTGGTTTCAGGTTGGCCTGAAATTCACTAAGTGTGTAGCAGAGCGGTCCCCACCCTCCCCAATGCGTTTATAGGCGGGAACCGCTGCACTAGACCTTAGGAAAGAAACCAGAGAAGGCAGATAATATATCTTCTCTGAAATTAGTTACTCTGCCTGTGGTCTGCACGGAAAGTTCCAGCTCTTAAGGTAGCAACATGATCAGTGGTCTTCATCGCTGGCAGACAAGGGGTTCAGAACAAGTCTGGTCTCTGAAAAAGGCAACTGCTTCTGCTTCTCAGTTACTAATATTCAAGGTCTGGAACACCATACCTGACTGTGCTGTTAATTTTTGATGGAACTAGGAAATAATCCCAAGGTCTCTGTGCTGTACAGAGATTTCATTAACTAAAGAGGTTTGTCATTAGATTGCACAGAAGGTGTGGATCAGAGTACCAGGATGGTGTAGTTTGAGAGCCTTCCTCTGCCTCACGGTTGGAATATATGTGATCTTCTCAGCTGGCTCCCTGCTAACTTACTCAACCTCAAAGCTTGCCAAATAATGCTTCTGCATGTGACATTCTTCTACATGTCACCTAATTAGTAAGGAATAGGATGGGCCACAGGCACACGGTAGTAATAAATGTGGGTTAGACCCGAAGCTTCCCACTGTTTTGGTTTAAGGTGACTTTGTAGATTTATAGATGCACTGGACTTGTTGAACACCTGAAGTGCTGGGGTATGCACCAACACCCCCCTGGATATCTAGTGTGGTTTTGTGTGTGTGTGTGTGTGTGTGTGTGTGTGTGTGTGTGTGACTTTGTTGTACACACAGAAGACAGAAGAGGGCATCAGATCTCCCAGAACTGTGAGTTGTAGGCAGTTGGAAGCTTCCAGGTCTGAATGTTAGGAACCAAACCCAGATCAGCAATGAAACGAGCACTGAGCCAGCCCCTGGTGGTATTTTATAAAAGTGCATACTTGGCTTATTTAATTTTTTTAAGTGCTTGCTGTTGTGAGATGTGGGTGAGCAACTATACCAGGGTGATAATCATTTCCGGGCATGTAATTCAGGGCCTGAGAGAGTAGAAGAAAAATTGCCAGGCAATTGCTTCCTATGATATATTGTATGAAGCCATGACTTATTTCTCCCCTTTCGTACTGTGTGTGTATTAGAAGGTAGGTGAGAGAGAAAGAAAAACTTATGCATATGATGACAGTCCCATCTTTCAACAGATTTGGACAAATTGTTCATGCCTGTGATGTGGTTACAGGGAAAATTCAATAAGAATCACAACCCCCGCCCCCATCCTTTGTGATGCTGGATATTGAATTCAACCACACATCCGAAGGAACATATTACTTTTGATTGGCTGAGTCACTCTCTACAGCCCTGGCCAGCCTACAAGTCATAGACCAAACACAGGCTTACGTGCCTCTGCTTCCCCCGGGGTTACAGGAGTGAACTGTTCCGTGTGGTTTACATGGGACAGGGATGGGTGTGTGGAGGCAGACTAGTACGTAATGCACACTATTGAAGCCATGTCTCTAAGCTCATTTTAAGTGCCCTCCCCGGTAGTCCCTGTACTGACACTGAGCCTGCTTGGATGCATAGCAAGAGTCTGAACCAAAGAGTAAAGTAGTTGTCTTATTTCAGCAGGTAATGGGAGAAATGTCTGTGCTTACTTTGCAGAGAGACACTAACAACAAACCAGTAAATGGCCCCAAATCAGAGTCCATGGAAGACAGTCAATGTGGCCATGGGGAAGAGCAGAGATTGGATTTGAATTCACAACCCCTTGACAATGTAGGGAAGAATGCAGAAAGCATGACAGGAATCGAGGTGGAGAATTGGACACCAAACAAGAAATCAAGCCCAGCAAGTCAAGTCAAGGGAGACCTTGATACAAATTTAACTGAGGTTGGAAAGCCCCAGCCCTCTGAAGATGACAAGCAAGAAAGCCAACCTTCCCCGATGTTTCCTCAGGCCATAAGAAACGGCATGAAAAATGTGTACTGTTTACCTATGGACACAAACCTCCCGATCAACAAATTGGATCTTGAAGAAATTAGCAAGGTGCTGGGAAATAGTTCCTCGAAATTGCTACCTGGCCCCTCAAATGGCAATGATGCCATGAACTCCCTCACTTCCGATAGGAGCTGCGATCATCTCAAGGGGACAAGTGACACTTTGCTCTTCCTGAAGCCTGGCTTGAACTGCCAATCTGCTGCAGACTCCACCATCCCTAAGAATCATCCTAATACACACAGTACTGGCTGTCAACCTGAAAGTCCCGAGGAGGTACCTAGTAAAGAGCCAAAAGATGACTCTCCAGTTCAGCCAAGTCTTTTATCACTAATGAAAGACAGGAGACTCACCCTGGAACAAGTGGTAGCCATTGAAGCCCTTACGCAGCTTTCAGAAGCTCCATCTGAGAATTCCTCGCCATCAAAGCCGGAGAAGGGTGAAGACACAGATCAGAGGACAGCTAGTCTGCTTGACAATTGCAAGGCTATCCTTAATTCTGTGAGAAAAGACCTCCAAGACCCAAATGTAAAGTGTCTTCAGCATCAGAACCCAGAGTTCAAGTTGCCGGAGAGTTCAGCGACTAACCAAACACTTGAAGATTTGACCTCACTTACAGCTGGAGACAAACCTACCCTTGATAGTTCATATCCATTGCCAGTAGAAAGTCATAATCCAGAAGACTGCAGTCAGGCACTAAACGGCGACCAAAAGCTGAATTCCCAGCATGAGCCACCATGCCAGGATGTGCCCTACAGTCAAATTGAAGAAGATGTTGCAGCACAATTAACCCAGCTTGCATCCACAATTAATTACAATCACATAAACCCAGACGTCAAGAATGCCGGAAGTATACCAGGGAGCCTTGCTGCAAAGAATTCACAGCAGAAACCTAATCAGGAGAAAGGCATGGCACAAGAGAAACCAGCGTCGAGTATACAAAACAAACCCAGTGTACCACCAGTAAAGCCAAAGAACAAGACCCAGAAGAAAGCAAAACAGACCCCCAAAACAGACAAGCGGAAAAAGGAGCCTCCACTCCCTAGCTCTCAAGAAAACGATCAGAAGCAAGAACAACTTGCAACGCAGTATAGTAAGATGCATGACATTTGGATATCATCCAAATTTCAAAGATTTGGCCAGTCTGGTCCACACAATGTTCCTGACATGTTTGGAAACCTTCCTATCTTTTACCAGAAATTAAAACCAATAGCTCAGAATAACATACCCTTACAACCCAGTATGACGTTTCTTCCTCTCCGTCAGATAAAATTCACAAGACAATCTGAATTGGCAAAGGAGAATGTTAAAGTCGAGCCACCAGATGCTCTACCAACATGCCAAATCAAGACAGAATCCAGCGGGCAGGCGTTTGCAGAGCCGGTAGACAATTCTCAGGTACAACCCTCAGTGAATATCAGTGAGAAAGCTCACCCTCTGCCTCAGCCCTCCCTTCAATCTAACCAGTGTGCTAACACGATGCCTGGTGCTGCTCAAACACAGTTACAACTAGGCGCTCAAGAGAACCTGGTGCACCCGATACCACCGACGTTGCCTGGTACCTCTCCTGAGACACCCTTGCCAGACCCAGCATCCATCCTCAGGAAAGGGAACGTGTCAAGTTCCAACGGAATGGCAGGTGTGAATGCGAAGTCGGAAGCGCAAGCACCAAGCCATGGACCACGGGGTGACTCCGCCACACACAGTGTCCAGACGGAGTTTTTTGAGCGCATCAAGAAATACCTTAGAGACCCTGCAAAATTCCTGCAACCTGAAGCGAATGAGACGGACGAGCCAACCTGTGACTGCAATGGTACGTGTTCATTAGTGTGCATGCTTTCTAATTCATCTTCTGGGTGGGGCATCTTTGTAGTTTAGCTAAGATGCTCTAAGTAATTCTGCTCCTGTTTTTCTATTATTCTTAGAGAAAAGGAAGTTTCAACTGGGAAAAGTAAACTTTTTCAAGTGGAGAACAGGACTAAAGTAGTTCATTCGTTTTCATGACAAAGAATGGATTTCAATGTTTAAATATATAAACTTCAACCTGCAAGTATTTAATTTGATAGCTTTTTCTTGTGAAAAACCGAATGTGTATACATAGACTGTAAAAACATGTAAGGTTGTAGATAGCCAAAAATATCCACAGCTTCTGCCTGTGTTGTCTCGGCACCTGCACAAGCCTGGACCCCGAGTTCTGTGCCCAGAAGCCATGATGGATGTTCTCTGACTTCCACACACTTAAATAGTTGGTGCTGAGGAAACTGGCTTTTACATAGGAAGCATTTTTGGGGGCGGGGGTGGTTTCGAATAGGGCTTCTCTCCATTCTATAGACCACGCTCGCTTCAAACTCAGATCTGCCTGCCTCTGCCTCCTGAGTGCTGGTATTAAGGGCCATCACTGCCCACCAGACAGAAGCCTGGGCTGTCTAATAGGAAGTTGTCACAACAAAACAAAGCAAATAGGGCTAAAGAAATGAGTCAGCCAGGCAGCCAGTGATTCCCACACCATCTGTGACTCTGCCTTTAGGAGATCCTGACTGCATCCTCTACTGGGCACTGCAGTCACATGCGCAGACGAAAAGATTTTAAAAGCTGGAAGAGCTGGAAGAAAAGTTTCAGATGTTAAGACCAACATCTGTCTTGCAGACAACCCGGGTTCAGTCCCCAGCGCAGATGTGGTGGGTCACATATCCACAACTGTTTCCAGGAAGCCCAATGCCCTTTTCTGACCTCCAGGAGTAATTGCCATACACTTACTACATGCATATGCATATATACATACAGGGAAAACATTCACGTACATAAACTTGAAGGGAAAAAGAAAGCTTTTCCTCAAGCTTAGGATACGCAAGCCTCTGCTTCCTGGACGTTTGCAGTTCAAGGTGTTTACTGGCGCAGATAGATTTTTTTTTCCTATGAAACAAAATGGCTCTACATTTCTAAGACATCAGTCTCTGCTGGTGTCACAATTACTGATCATTCTTTTTTGAAAAATTGTCTCATGTATGAGACATGAAAGTTTAGCTTGTACCTTGGCTAGTCACTGGCCATCCAGGAGGCAGTGTTGGGAGAATCATCTTCGGCTTCTTAGCAAGTTCAAGGCAAGCATCGGACTGCACTAGAGAGTGATAGTGTGAATCAGGACTGTTTGGACGAGAGCATCCACCTGCCATGAAATGCTTTTATGGGTATCTCTGCAAAGGGAAAAAATATTTTTGGACTTGTCTAGGTTTCCTGAGTTTGTGGTTATCAGGTCACTGGTGACCACTTGGCAGGCCTGACAGCCCATTGATGAACACTGAGTGCTATGTCAGTGATTCTCAACTTCTCTGCATCAAGACCCCCTTGATGGGGTGACGTCACTCACCACAGCAGCATGTACATGATGACCTATAAGGGCCTCAGCTTTAGGAATGTTGAGAGGCGCTGTTCTAAGTGATGTCATGTTCTTAAACACACCGTCATCCCAGTAGCGTCATTGTAGGTGAGGATCTTGTTTTCAATATAGGATTAAACAGTCACAGTAGGCCGTTTTCAGATCAGTGTTTGTCCCCGTTAGCAGTTTTGACATGTTAGACCTAAACAGGGACTGTCCTGACATGCTTGATTTCACATTATTCCAAGTCCCTTTATATTAGATGGAAGCCATAGTGCATACACATGCCACAGATACTGCCAAATGTCACTATGGGCAGAATCACCCCTGCTCTTCCAGAGGACCCAGGTTCAATTCCCAGCACCCACATGGAGGCTCATAACCTTCATTGTTCACGGGCTTTTGCATGCGTGTGCACAAACCCACACGCAAACATGGAGATCCACCCGCCTCTGCCCCGCCTACCCCTCCAGGATAAAGGAGGTGGTGAAGCCAGAAATAGAGTCTGGGTGTATCTTATTTTCTGCCTTACCTTGTTTTCTTATGTTTTTTTTTTTTTTAAATTGCAAATATTCCCTTGCTTGGTATACTGGTTCCCACCCCCACCCCCCATTACCAGCGAATCTACCTACAGTGTTCTATGTGCCACGGAAGCCCCCCCACGGCTGAGATACATCCTCAAACCAGAATAATGACTTGTAAAAATACCATGGCTAGAAAGACAGTTACCAGTCTTTGGAGAGGACTGATAATTGTAACAAGTAACTTTCTTGTACACCTGCATTGTAAATCCCGAAGCTAACCTTCAGATTCATCGCTCTCTGTTAGCAGTGACTACAGATAGGGAGCCAGGTGTAATTGTCAGTAGAGTTCAAGGTCATCCTTGGCTGCTTAGTGAGTTGAGGCTCTACTGAGACCCCATCTTAATAACTGCTAATCGTTAATAAAAAGGTAGATGAGAAGAATAAATACAGTCCCCTTAAATTTTTTTGGTCTTCTCTCCTTTGACGCCTAGAAGAATTAGGAGCCAGAAGATGGCAACAGGGGCAAGTCCAATGTCAGGACCTGTTGTCTAATCCTTTCAAAAAGAAAGAAAAAGCCCCTGTGCTTTTTATTTTTGCCAAACTGGGTCTAATAATCTTATTCCTTCCACAGATGGAGGTACACAAAAAGACAAAGGCCCATATTATACACACCTGGGGGCAGGACCAAGTGTTGCTGCTATCAGGGAGCTCATGGAGACTAGGTGAGGAGATGTGTTTCCCTGCTAAAACCATTCTTCCCTGCGACCCTGGGTCAGTGCAGGGGAGTGACCCTGAGGTGAATGAAGACTGGTCCTCCTTAGTCCCTCCTCCCAGGAGCTCGGGGGCCCTGGAGACACGCCCCCACACTGCAAAGCCTATTATTACTGTGCAGTGGTAGAAATAGGTCAGATGACCACCACCAATGCTGTAACCCTCACCTCCCGACGCTTGTGTTGAGGTCAGGCTCTTGTTAGAACTGGGTGACGATCTGCCACACAGCCGCTGGCTTTTAGCCAATGGAATTGACAACGGTTTCGTTTGAACTCGTGTTCATTTGGAGCTTCGCTGATTTTAAGTACAGATTGTCATTAATTAGCCCCGCCTCCTCTTGTGTTCTGTACTCAGGTATGGCCAGAAAGGAAAGGCAGTTCGAATTGAGAAGGTAGAGTACACGGGGAAAGAAGGCAAGAGCTCGCAGGGCTGCCCAGTCGCCAAGCGTGTGAGTACCGCTAGCATACTGTTCCTGGTTCTTGGGAGAATAGATTTTTCACATAGGATTTTTCACACAAGGTTTTGTTTTGGCCAGAGTGGAGGCTAGCAAACTAGTGTCCCTAGTGGTCATGCACATCAAGGGGCACCAAGAAATTCCACCTAACACTGCATGGCAATAACCAAATAGGAGACTAAGAGAAAGGTTTAGGAGGGAGGGATTGTGGAGTAGAACTGCATGTCAACATTTCCCTGGGTCGCTGTTGGAGCTCTGGGTGTTCTTCCAGAGAACCCAGGTCCAACTCCCAGAGTCACGCAATCTATAATTGTCATCACTGCGTTCGTGTGTGGCAGAGAAACATGCAGGCAAAACACCCATAGGCATAAGAATAAAGTTTTTGATTCACGTGTTTTTGTAGCTCAGACTGCATGTGTGAATCTCCTGTCTTAGCCTCCCAGATATCATAGTTATAAACATGACCACTGTGAACACATAAGAAATGGGTTTTGGTGTGGTCTTAATTTTTAAATTAATTTTTCTTTTCTGATGGCCATATTTAATTTAATTGTGTTAGTATGTGTGCACATGTAGACTGCAGAGGAAATTCCCATGGGTTCTAGGGATCCACTGACTTACCCATCTCCCTGACTCTTACTGATGAGTGCCTTCACTAAATTTGAACTTTCTTAGAAACTGTAACTTCTTTATCCACTGTTAATGGGAATGGATGAACCTACCTGACTCAACATCATCTCAAAGGAAATAGATTTACACAAAGACATGTATGTGGCCATCTAACAGAAGTCAAAGGGTGGAGAATCAATGGCCATCGACAAAGGAATGCAGCAACAAAACTATTAATCACTGAAAATGGATTAGGCTCCCCCAAATTCATACAGATGCCTGTATACAAGCACCCATCACTATCAAGCACAGAGAATTTTAAAATTACCCATTTGTATTTGGTTGTGGTTGAATATTGGATCCAAGACTTGGCACACGCAAGATATGGTATGTTATTGAGTCTCCCCCTCCACCCCACGCATGTTTATTGTGTTGCTAGAGGTAGGGCTTGTGCATCAAGCATGCTTCACTGGGCTGTAGCTGCATCCCTCAGGCTGTAGGCTGGAACAGCTGGGGAAAAGACATGAATATGCTCAGCAGACCCCTTCTGTGTGCAGAGAAACTCTCTGGTACTGATGACTGAGGATATCACTAGGTATGGAGGTCTTGTGCTTACTGTCTTCTCCAAGACAATAACCAGAAGCTCCCTGTTTCCTCCACCCGCTGGTTAGAGGAGTACTAGATCATGTCCAACTTTTTAGTGCTTGGTGGGGCTTTGAACTCCAAGTCCTTGTGCACAGAAAACAGGCTTGCTTGGTAAGCCCTGAGATGCGGGACTCCCTGGGCCCTCACAGCATAGCAAATGAATGACAGAAAGTGCTTATGGAGCAACACAATATTGGTGAAGAGATGAGACTTGGGGGAAACATTTTCTTTTTTCTTCTTTTTTTTAATTAATTAATCTATTATGTATACAGTGTTCTGCCTGCATGTGTGCCTGCACGCCAGAAGAGGGCACTAGATCTCATTATAGATGGGTGTGAGTCACTATGTGGGTGCTGGGAATTGAACTCAGGACCTCTGGAAGAGCAGCCATTGCTCTTAACCACTGAGCCATCTCTCCAGTCCGGGGGAAACATTTTCAAGTCACATTGCGCTTTGACTCCCAAATTTTACAAGCTGACACATCCTGATTTTCATTCATTATTTCTTTAGCTTGTAATATGTATGTACTGAAATGGTCACTCAATTAATAGCGCGTGTTCATACACACACACACACACACAGAGAGAGAGAGAGAGAAAGAGAGAGAGAGAGAGAGATGAATCTTTATCTGAAGAGAAGTCTCAATGACTGAGTGTACGTGCTGTTCTTGAACAGGATTCAAGTTCAGTTCCCAGCACCCATGTCAGGTGTCATGCATGCATGTCATACATATAAATTCATACATACATATGACATCCATATGTCATACATAGAAAATCAGGTTCAAAACTTGGGCACTGTCGTAAGAATGTTATTACGAGGAGCTGATTTTTTTCAATGAACCCATTTGTGCAAAAAGCCCCATCTTTATATATGAATGTACAAGTTATTCCTAGAATAATCCTGTCAATGGCTTTGTGAGATAGGTCCCTCTTCACCCTAGATACAATCCCCACTTCTAAGAGAAGGGGAGAGGGGAAAGTGCATGGAACTGGCCTTTGACCTTGAGTTCATGCTAGAGTTTTCCTGACACTGAAGGCTCAGTTCCACGTTTTAATGTTTTCTATCTTTTTTTTTATTTATTTATTATGTATACAATATTCTGTCTGTGTATCTGCCTGCAGGCCAGAAGAGGGCACCAGATCTCATTACAGATGGCTGTGAGCCACCATGTGGTTGCTGGGAATTGAACTCACGACCTCCAGAAGAGCAGTCAGTGCTCTTAACCTCTGAGCCATCTCTCCAGCCCTAATGTTTTCTATCTTAAGTTGGAATTTGTTTCACCTTTGTAATTGCGGGGGTGGAGTGGTGTATATGGGATGGGGGCTTTTATTCAAACCCAAGGCCTTTTGCATGCCAAGCAAGCATTCTACGGTTGTGATAGGCCTCCATATTTTAATAGCTTTTCTGATTGGCTGGCCAGGAACTATGTAGACCAGGAGTTCTTGGATTAAATGTGTATGCCACATTTAACTATGTTGGTTCTCGGGAATCTAACTCAGGTCACTTAGGTCTGGTACATGTTGAACCTTCGTGCTGGCCCTACCTCCAGGAACACACACACACACACACACACACACACACACACACACACACGTGCATGCGCACACACATGGTTAAAAGTTATATAATGTATGTTTAAAATACACGTGTCATACATATCTATCATTAGTGTGTATTATCAATGGTGTTGGCATGCATCTTTCATGACACATGTTGGCCGACGAATTTTTTTTTTTTTTTACCATGTGAGTTTCATGCCTCACACTGTCTAGTGCTTGCTAGCTCGGGATGCCTGCAAGCACTATGAAGTACAGACTGGCCTCCTGCCTTCCAGAGGCTGTAATTAAAGCACTTCTGTCAGTTCAGAGTGCTCCGTGATTCCCACCTCATGAACACAGCTAATTGGTAGCATTCATTGAAAAGACTATTAATGTTGTTTGTTTGAGACAGGGTCTCATATCCCAGGTTGGTTTCAAATTAGATGTTTAGCCAGGTATCCTCACAAAGTTAGGCTCTTGCCCCCACCCCAGGAATGCTGGGATTGCAGGCATCCTTCACTTTTTGCTGGGTGTATGTGGTGTTGGAACTGCAAGCCAGGCAAACATTCCATCATTTGGAGCTGTATCCCAGCCAAAGAGTCTACTGTTTACATTGCGGGTCGTGTTCTCCTTAGGTAATTTAATTGCTCTATTAACATGGTAGAAATAGGATTTTGTTTGGGATTGCATGAAATTCAGACAAGTGTTCCTCTGCCATGGAAGCTCCATTTCTTGGATCTTCCACAGTCTGGCAACTGGGCAATAGTCAGTTCAGCCAACCAAGGCATTTGAGGGCAGCCCCAGTGACGACGGAGGGCTCTGTCTCAGCGATAGGCAAGAACTCTGTTTCCAGGGCGAAGAGTTGATTATGTTTCCAGGGGGCAAAGAGATTCCTCAGTTAATAGTAATTCCTGCTCTTACAGAGGTCCCAGGTTCAGTTTCCAGCACGCACATGGTCTTGACTACATGTAACTGACACTCTTTTGACGCCCCCATGCACCAAGCTCTTCACATGCCACATATACATAAATCACAGGTAAACACTATACACCTGAAAATTTTTATGGTGATTTTTTTGGCTATATGAAGCTCTTCTCAAAAAGGGTGGGAAAACTGTTGACAGTTTCTGTCTTGCCCGGTTCCAAAGAAACACACAGGCCTACATTAATTATAAACTGGTTGGCCTATTAGCTCAGCCTTCTTATTAAGTAACTCTTACCTCCCAAATTAACCCATAATTCTTGTCTGTGTTAGACACATGACATTCTCATCACTGGCTGATGACTGACTCTCTGCCTTTCCTCTTCCCAGAGTTCTCCTATTTTGGTTGCCCCGCCTATACTTCCTGCCTAGCTACTGGCCAATCAGCATCTTATTAAACCTATACAAGCGACAAATCTTTCCAGGGTACAGGATCATTTTCCTACAGTAGGAAACTACTCTGACCGGCGAATGTATGGTGTAGTATGACTCCATTCTGCTTTCCAGATACTTAGAAGATCCGGTTCCGAAGAGAAGATTCTTTGTTTGGCCCGGGTGCGTCCTGGTCACTACTGCACGACGGCGGTGATGGTTGTGGTTATCATGCTCTGGGAAGGCATCCCTCGCCTGATGGCCGACTATCTGTATGATGAGCTTACAATGAACTTGAGGTCCTACAGCGGGCATCCCACTGACCGCAGATGTACCCTCAACGAAAAGTAATGAGATTTGCTTTTAGCGGTTTTGACACTCCTATCTCTATTAAATAGCAACTGTTAAGAGAGTAGTGGGGGCTTTTAAACAGCCTGTCTCCAGGTGTGGCTGCACACACCTTCTATACCTCGAGGCTGCTGGACCTCCACAGAGTGAAGAGCAGCTAAGACTGCACAGTGAGACCTTGTCTTTTTTCCTTTTCTTCTGTAAATAATTTTGCTTTAGAATTTGTGAGGCTGGGGGACCAGTGATTGAACCTCAGCCTTATTCATCTTGATGTGCACACACCTACCATCCAAAAAACTGAGAATATTAATTTCCCTATTGTATCTTACCCAACCCACTGTATACTGAGGAAATGATCTTCAACGGAACATTCTTTCATTCTTTTTTTTTTTTTTTAAGATTTATTTATTAAGTATGCAGTGTTCTGTCTGCATGTTTGCCTGCAGGCCAGAAGAGGGCACCAGATCTCATTACAGAAGGCTGTGAGCCGCCATACGGTTGCTGAGAATTGAACTCAGGACCTTTAGAAGAGCAGGCACTGCTCTTAGCCACTGAGCCATCTCTCCAGCCCCCGGAACATTCTTCATCAGAACCTGAGGCCTCTTCCCAATAAATTTAATGCAGAAATCCCATCAGTGGAGTTATGCTCTGGCTTCCAGTATTTGTGGTCTCCCCCTACCCCATGTGCCCCCCCTTTAGAAGTCTAGCTGATCTGTATGGAACTCTGGCTTTATAATGAGATCTGTGCATGACCGGTCAACCTTCCTGAGTAAATTTTCTAATGGATTACGTTTCCTTTTTCCCTTTTCGAGATCCTTAATAGATTACCAATTCACAATTTTCCTGCCTCTTTTTAACAATGTCTTTTTTAAAAGATGTATGAGCATGTATCTGTAAGCACATTATTCCAGAAGAGGGCATTAGATCCCACTATAGATGGTTGTGAGCCACCATGTGGTTCCTGGGAATTGAACTCAGAATCTCTAGAAGAGAATTCAGTGCTCTTAACCACTGAGCCTTCTCACCTGCCTATAATCACCAGCATATAGCCATTTCTTAAGTATTATGTGCTGTCCATTTGTTTGTTTCCCAGTGGTAGATTTAAACTGAACATATACGTTGGGCAGTAGTGGCGCACCACTTTAATCCCAGCAGAGGCGAATCTCTGAGTTCGAGGCTAGCTTGGTCTACAAGACCTAGTTCCAGGACAGCCAGGGCTACACAGAGAAACCCTGTCTCAAAAAAAAAAATAGTTATTTGTCTACCAAGTTTTTATTCCTTCTGTTTGTTATTTGACCCTTTGGGTCTCACATCCATCCTGTCGTTCCTTTTCCAAGTTTTTGAACCTTGTGCCCAGTCATGTCTGAAAAAGGTTTTTGAGGCATGGTTCATTGTGTAGCTAACATCACAGTTATCTTTTGTAGTCATTGTCTCGCCTTTCACATCTATAAATTTTTGTTTCTTGTTTTGTTTTGTTTTTTGAGACAACATTTCTCAAAATGTTGCTCAAACCATCCTTGCTGTCCTGGAACTAGCTCTTGTAGACAGCCTGCTCACACCCAAATTTGGTAGCATCTTAAATTCAGAGCTGAGGAGTATCTCTTCCCCAGTATCACAGAAGATAAGGAAGTAAATCAATAAAATTCAGATGTATAGAGGTTTCCCGCCCTCTGCTCTCCTCTTACCTTTTTATTTGTTTTTCATTGGGACAGGCCTGGCTATCCTGCAACATACTCTGTAGACCAGGATGGCCTTGCACTCAGGTTAAAGGCATGTGCCCCCACTGCCCAGCTAGCTACCTTTCTATTTTTATGACAGGGGCTAGGTTTGTTAATTTAGAATTATCTAGGCTTGTTGTTTTAGAGTCTAGAAATTTAGTGCTTCAGAGATGCATTGTATTTATCAAGTTCCTCAACAAACACCCTTTCTATATATTATTCATGTCGTAATTCTCATAAAGACTTTCATTAAATTTGCCAGGGATTGTAGAGTTTATTGTGTTCTCAATTCAAGTTCCACGGAAAGGAAATCAAGTTACGTTAGGGAAGATTGAACTCCACCTCATATCTAAGTCAACGAGGACAGCTTGCTGTCTGCTTAGATTTAGAACCTTAGACATGAATTTTAGTTAAATAAGAACCATGAATGGATTCAAAGTGAAGAGGACTGATTGTGAAGTTTAGGCTGGATGTATGTAGCTAGCACGTGTCTTCATGTGATGGTAAATATTATAGCATGTATTACTGTGAGCTCACCTAATCCCCTGTTTGATGTCTTCCAGTCGTACGTGCACCTGTCAAGGTCTCAATCCAATGACGTGTGGCGCATCTTTCTCCTTTGGCTGTTCATGGAGCATGTTTTTAAACGGCTGTAAGTTTGGGAGAAGCCCAAACCCCAGAAAGTTCAGACTTGCTCCAAACTATCCATTAAACGTGAGTTTCCTTTTTAATTTTCGGGCACCATCTACAGTATATAACCATGTATAGTCCCTAAAATTTTTTTGAAAACAAAATTATATATGTACATTTTCTAAATGTGTCGGGTAAAGACTTTATCTATTTAAATTGTCCGTGGGTCTGCCTTCCTGCTCTCCAACACCAGAGGGACCCTAGCCAGAGTAAGAACAAACCATTTGCTAGCCTTTTAAAGACTAAAGAAAGCTTCCTGCCCACAGAGCTACTATAGGAGAATTACTGGATCACGACGTTTTGGCAGAAGAAGACGCATGAAACCCGTAAAACCTAGACAGATGTTTCCAGAACACAGGGCTCAGGTGAGTAGAGAATTTCTTCATCTTCTTAAATTTAACATGAAGGGGCTGGAGAAATGGCTCAGCGGTTAAGAGCACTGACTGCTCTTCCAGAGGACCCGGGTTCAAGTCCCAGCACCCACATGGCAGCTCACAACTGTCTAAAAATCTAGTTCCAGGGGAATCTGACACCTTCACACCGATGCACATAAAATAAAGATAAATAAATCATTAAAAAAAGTTTAAATTTAACATGAACTTGGGTCCATTACCATCACTAAATAGGTGATATATCACAATATTTATTTCTTAAACTGAGTGTGGTGGGGTTGGGTAAGACATCATGAGGGTTGCTGCCTACCAAGGCTTCATATTAAGATCAAATGTCAAAACAATAGATTTCTGCTATTATACTGACTTGATACAACAGTTTGTGAGCTGCTTCCAAGAAAGCACGTTCTGCTTTGTTTTTTGTAAGTATTTATTTATTTTCGAGCGAGATTTTAGAAGCGGGGTTTCTCTGTGTAACAGCCCTGGCTGTACTGGAACTAACTCACTTTTGTAGACCAGGCTGGCCACGAAATCAGATCAATGTGCTGCTGCCTCTGTGTGGTAGGATTAAAGGTGTGTGCCGCCACCACCACCTGAAAAGCATGTTTTAAAAAACATTCATTAGTAAGGAATTATTTAGATTAATACATTCAAAGAAAACCACATAATTCAGCACATTGGAATGAAATCATTTTAATGCAAGGTAAGTATTAAGTATCATAGCTCGTGAGCTCTAAAGGTGTGTCACTTCAGAACAAAACTAATGTAATGAAGTATTTGACCTTTAGATAAGAATAGAAAGAGATACTTTAGATATAACTATAGATAAGTATACATCTAGCCAGGTGTAGTGGCGATGTCACAGTATTAGTGGTTTCTTTATAAGGAAGACAAAAGCCAGGAGCTGTCAGGCCAGTATAGCTGAGTCCCCAGGAGCAGGAGAGAGCGGTGTGTGCATCAGCTATATAAGCTAAAGCCAAATATTGGGGAAAGGTTTGAAAGAATAAAATCAGCACATTTCGCCGGGTGCACCTTTAATTCCAGCAATTGGGAGGCAGAGGCTGGCAGATCTCTGAGTTCAAGGCCAGCCTGGTCTACAAGAGTTGGTTCCAGGACAGGCTTCAAAGTTCAAAGCCATAGAAAAACCCTGTCTCAAAAAAAACAAACAAAAAAACCCTTCTCTTTCTGTGTTCCTTATTGATCATAATAAGTCAAGAGTCTCTTTGCAAATGGACTCACTAAGAACAGCTTAGCATAGGGATAGTAACAATGTTCCAGGGGCCAAATGCTGTGCCAAGGTTGGTTGAAGATATTAGTTTGAAATAGTGAAAGGAGACAGTCCACGTTGGGAATGTTTGGCATTCCCCGAGTGGGTGATGTTATCCTGGAGTGGGCGGGGACGATGTCTGATGGTTACGGGCAGGTTTTTGCTTCCTTTCTTAACTTTACCCCAAACTATCATACGGATGATGAATTATTCATTCTGTGGCGCTGACACTGGTTTGTCCACAATATAACAGGCGCTACTATAAAATGTGACTTTCTCAGTGTGGACTATTTCTCAATACTCCCTAATCTGTAGCATTTATAAAATAGAAGAGAACTCTCAGTGCAACACACACACACACGCACACACACACACACAGACACACACACACACACACACAGACACAGACCCACACACACACAGACACACACACACACAGACACACACACACACACACACACACACACACACACACACCCGCTTAGTATACATGGAAACCCATAGCCTTGGCAAGAGCAGTAAGGGTGAACAATCTTCCCAGACTCTCATCTTGGAATCTTTAATGAACAGGCTAGCCTGCCAAGTGTCAAACTTGCAGCCATGCTTATGTGAAAACATTTCTGTGTTTGTGTTTATTTCAAGAGTCCAGGTCTGCTTTTATTCTCTGCATCAAGGGCAGATTTGGAATATATCCTTCATTATATAGGTTTCCATGTTATAACGTCTACTCATTGTGTTATGGGAGGCCCCAATATGAACTGACTGGAGTTGTTGTATACCTGTAGAGTTGTATACCTGTAACACCCTTTACACCTTTTACTGTAGGAAAAGAAACTTGAAGAACTTTTTCAGAAATTGGCTGATGATTTAGCTCCCGTTTATAAGCAGATGGCTCCGGTGGCTTATCAAAATCAGGTAAGTTTTTTGTAGACCTCATTAAGCATCCATGTAAAATTTCTATGTAAAAAATAGTTATTAATTGGATTATTGGTGTGGGGGCTACTTGATTAGGAGTAGTGGTCTGCCCTCCTTATTAGGCTCTCTGTGTCTGCCAAACATACACAGAATGAAGTGGGTGGCTATCCTGATCTACCTTATTTCAAAAGATACCTTATTTCAAAAGATATCTTATTTCAAAATGGTAGGGATAGAAAAGATGGTTTACCCGCCGCTCTGGGAGTGGTGGCCAGCCTGATCTACGTAGAGTGCCATTCATGGATCCATAGAGAGACCCTGTCTCAATCCTCACCACCCCACATAAGTGCTCCCAAGATTCTTCAGAGCACACACATACTGGGTGTGGTGACACTAAGAGACAGGCTGGACCTCTGAGTTCAAGGCTAGCCTGGTCTCAAAAGAGTTCCAGGATACCCAGGGTTATAAGAGAAACCCTGTCAAAAACAAAACAACAACAAAACAAGCATAATAAAATATAGAGGCAGACACAGCTACCTTAATAGTTCACAAAATAGTTCACAAAATGTCTGCTTCGTGGACACTACATTCATTCATTCATTCATTGTTTCAGGGTAGGGGTTCATGCCTGTTGCCAGTTTGTGGCTCAAACCAACAGTCAAAGCACCTTTATCTGCTGAGGATCTTATCTGCCATCCCTTAATACCCTGTCTGGTTCTTGCACACGTGTACACACACCTACACACAAGGTCATACATAGGAATTGATGGAGGAAAAAATATATGGATAGATCCAGTGGTTTAGAATAGAATATTGGCTGCTCTTTTGACTACACAGGGCCAACTCCAGGTACACACATGTGATACTCGTGTGCAGACAAAACCACCCATAAGTCTTTTTTTTTAATTTTTTTTTTTTTAAGGTGAAATATGAAGATGTCGCTGGAGACTGTCGACTTGGTACTAAGAAAGGCCGTCCTTTCTCTGGTGTCACCTGTTGCTTGGATTTCTGTGCCCATTCTCACAGGGACATTCACAACATGATTAATGGAAGCACTGTGGTATGTACTTAAGTGGCTTTGAGTCTTAGTCCTTTTTGTTTTCTGTGTCTAGACATGGTTTCTCTGTGTAGCCCTGGATGTCCTGGGTCTCACTCTGCCTACCAAGTGCTGGGTTAAAGGCATATATTTGTTGGGCACTGGAGAGATGGCTCAGAGGTTATAAGTGTACCTTATAAGCTGTAGCTTGGTGTTCTCGAGGGTTTCCCTACCCTGGGATTGACCCTCCTGGGTTTCTGCATCCAGTCCTGGTAATGTTTATCTCCATGTTCAGTGGGAGAGGGGGGCTGGGGATGGATAGACTGGAAACTTCAGGAATACAAGAGACAAGAATAGGGCTGGAATAGGGCTAGAGGGATGGCACTGCTGCTCTTCCAGAGGTCATGATTTCAATTCCCAGCAACCACATGGTGGCTCACAACCATTTGTAATGAGATCTGATGCCCTCTGGCATGGAGATATATATACGGGAGAAACATTATATATATAATAAACCCTAAAATAAAAAGAAAATGTAAAGAGATATTTTGTTAATAGATTTGAATTTTTTTATATTTTTATTTATTCAATTTAGTATTTTGAGACAGGACTGGCCTGGAACTCTGTAGATCAGGCTGGCCTAGAACTCCACCTTCCTCTGACTTCTGAGTACTGGGATTAAAGGCATGCTCCAGCACTGCCTGGCTTAATTATAATTTTTTGCCTTTGTGTAATAGTTTCAGCTGTGTATGTATGCATACCAGCTGCATACCTGGTGTCCACTGAACTGCCGTCTGAGTGTTGGGTCTTTTGTTTTTGATTTACAAATAAATGCTTTAAGAAATAATGATAGATCTAGCCAGGTGGTGGCGGCACGCGCCTTTTATATCAGCACTTGGGAGGCAGAGGCAGGCAGACTTCTGAGTTTGAGGTCAGTCTGGCCTACAAGAGCTAGTTCCAGGACAGGCTCCAAAGCCACAGAGAAACCCTGTCTCGAAAAACAACATAACACAAAAAGCCCACCTCATATGCATAATGTCAACCCAGTTGTGTTTTCCATCAGTCCTGCGATTGGTAGGGCTTGAGATTGTGCTAGGTATATCTGTGTTTACGTCTATTTTATATTTTCACATCACACAGCTCAGGGTCTTGTCTTAAGGTTTCTATTCCTGTGAAGGGACACCATGACTACAGTGACTCGCATTAATGGTAGGGAGGGATGGCAGGCCACAGGAAGTCTGACACTAAGCTCACCGCCAGGGATACGCTTTCTCCAACAAGGCTACACCTCCCGATGGTGCCACTCCTTAATGCTATTACATGAAAACAGCTCCAGGGCTCTCGAAATGCCTCCACAGTACCTGTTGGCAAGGTTCAGTTCCCAGCAAGCACCAGGGTTAGACTGAACACAACCTGATGGGGTCAAATCCGTCAAATAAAGCTGGAATGCCTTGCTTCATAGAAAGTTGGAAGCCTACCTGGGCTTTAAAAGGAATTGTTCTAAAGAGAAGGAAAGTAAGCAGATATCTCTTTGTTTTACTTTGTGATCGCTTATTTACAATTAATAAAAAGACACTAGAATTGTGTATTTTACTGGTTTGATATTTAGTTTGGATTACTATGCCAGCTGCTACCGATTGAAACAAAACGGTACTGCAGATGGCTTTGTTCTTTGTTACTTGCTATCTGGTCACTCTGTTTTAGAAATACTGACTTATTTATAACAGTGTTCTGCCTCCATGTATTCCTACATGGCAGAAGATGGTACCAGGTCTCATTATAGATGTTTATGTGGCTGCTGAGAATTGAACTCAGGATCTCTGGAAGAGCTGTCATGGCTCTTAACCTCTGAGCCATTTCTCCAGCGCTGTTTTCATGGCAGAGAACTACCTACATCCAGATCAGAGACCGACTTTTATTACAGATGCTCACCTTAATCCTTTCACATGGTTCCACCCTTATTGATTAAGCATTCAAATACATGAGACTAAGGGGCTGTTCTTATTCAAACCATGTGCCTCAGGTTTGTACTTTGCTTCGTGAAGATGTCCGCGACACGAATAATCCCGAGGACGAGCAGCTCCACGTCCTCCCACTACACCGGCTTGCCGACACCGATGAATTTGGCTCCCGAGAGGGAATGGAAGAAAAGATCCGCTCTGGGGCCGTTGAGATCGTTCAGCCATCCAGGAAGAAGCAACTACGTTTCAATGAGCCCATTCCTCGGTGTGGGAAGAGGAGAACGACTATGATGGAGCAGAACAAGAAACCGGCTCCCGCAGCACTGAAAAGGAAGAGGAGCTCGTCCAGTAAGTGTGACCCCCGCCGCCCCCAGTAGCCAGACTGCTGTTCCCTGAACGCCTTTCCTCCCCCGGAAGTCTTGACCTTCAGAGAGGGTTTTCCCTCTTCTTTATATTTTTTTAATTTCCCGATTACTCTCGCGTGATGGTAGTGTTCTCCCTCCTCCTCTTGCTCCTTTTTGATCCCAGATTTCTCCCTTTTATTCCCCCTGCCCGCAGGCCCCACCTATCCTTTCTATCTACCCAGCTGCTCGACTGTTTAGCTATTTATTAAACAGTGTAGACAGGCAAAGAATCAAATAAAAGCAACATACATGAGCAGATTATAACACATCTCAAAATCACCCCACAACAGAAATGACTCCATTTTGCTTTTCATCCTCACTGAGTCCTCGTTCACATTATTTATTTTTTAAAAGATTTATCTATTTATTATAGATACAATATTCTACCTGCATGTATCCCTGTGGGCCAGAAGAGGGCATCAGATCTCATTACAGATGGTTGTGAGCCACCACATGATTGCTGGGAATTGAACTCAGGACCTCTGGAAGATAGCCAGTGCTCTTATCCTCTGAGCCATCTCTCCAGCGCCCATTCACATTATACATTTGCCTTTCCTTGTTTTTAATCAGCTGTTCTATCAAAGGACCGCAGCCAGTTTTTGATTAATAATAACATTGTAGTAATGTTATCTTGATTTTTTTTTTCTTCAAAACTGGGTTTCTTCATGTAGCCCCGGTTGTCCTGTATACCAGGCAGGCTTCAAATCTGCAGAGATCTGCCTGCCTCTGGGATTAATGGCAGCCAACACCACCACCCACTACCTGGCTGTTTTTGTTTTTTAGTTTTTCGAGACAGTGTTTCTCAGACCAGGCTAGTGTCCTGGGAAGTTAGTGATGGTGTGTGCCACTACTGCCCGGCTGTCTTTCTAACTAAAATAGCTTTTGTATCAAAGTGTAATTATCTTCATCTTGAGGCTCACAGTGTATAATATCTCTGCTCCCAAGTGCTGGGCATAAAGGTGTGCGCCACCACTGCCCGGCTGCATGATGATTTCATGCTTTTTCATGCTTTATGGATTCCTTGGTAAGAGTGCTTGAAGGGACACTTTCTCCTATTCTCTCTGCCTTCCTAACCAGAAGCTCCCTTTGGCTCACGTAATTAACATTCTCATGCTAACATGGTGGTTCCCCCTTTACCTTAAAAGCCTGTCTTTTGCCTATGTGCTGTATCTGTCTCCTATCCAGAGGACATCCTCTGAGACAAATATCCTTTCCCCCTCTGCCTTGTCCCCTCTCTCTTATCTCCTTTATCCCACCTCCTCGCTCGTTCTAACAGACTTCCCCTTTCTGCAAGGTCCTGAGTCAGAAAGCAGGTCACAGAAGAAGCCCCAACTTCAGGAAGTCCTTCAGTGTTCTCTGCCTAATTCAGTATTTTTTTTTAACCAGATCTTGGTCCATTTCCAAGACTGGAAATCCTTCTCACCAATATCATTGATTTGATAATTCTGGAATTGGGACTGGGTGTGGTGCTACAAATACATGTAAAAGATTTGTTTCCTCTTTGCTTTCCACTTTTTTTCCTATATATAGCTATGGCTGTCCTAGAACTAGCTCTTGTGGACCTGCCTCTGCCTCCCGAGTGCTGGGATTAAAGGCATGTGCCACCAGCACCCGGCTTTTCACTATATTTTTAAAGGATCTCAATGTTTCGAGCTGAGTCTGAAATCTTAGCTTGTATAACAGTAGGATGTTCAGAGTTTTTAATTTTCAAATGAATATGAAAGACAGGAAAAATGACATACTAGTTCATAGACTATTGACAGGAGAACTCCATACATATTCTAAAGATATAGACTATACCATATTCTAAAGGTGAGATGTTAAAAAAATATATATCCTTTTTTACACGTGCATTTTACCTGCACCACATGCATACCTGATGTTGAGATCAGAAGAGAGTGCTTGCTGACTCAGGAATTAACACCAGGAGGAAGAGAAAACACAAGCAACCGGCAAGTGGCAGAGAACTTAGAGGGTTTAGCAGTGCAACGATAGTCAAATTGAAACCAAGCCCCATTTTATTTTCAAAGGTTCAGACAACACTAAAAGCTTCTCATCAGCCTCCTCTACTCATCACCCGGTGAATGAAGAAGCAGCTGCCTGTATGTACAATAACACAGCCTCAGGCGGGTTTCCAGAAACAAGTAGCGGGCTCCCCTGCACAATGCCCTCTGGTGCTAATGTAGCTGCTGGTGCTGGAACTGAACAGCCTGGTGAAGCAGCTCCTCTTCCTCAACCCTCTCTCCCCACAGCAGACACCCCTCTCTCTAGCCCATCCGAGCAGCTACCATTCCTCAACTGTGCTCACGAACTGGATTCCTGTCAGGTGGAAGACGGGCATCACTCTGAAGCAGATGAGCCTCTCTCAGATGGTGCCCTGTCAGATGACCAGTCCTCCGAGGATGACGAACCTCAGATTCAGGAGTATTGGTCAGACAGTGAGGTGGTCCTCCTTAATCCTAGCTATGGCGGAGTGGCCATAGCACCCATTCATGGTTCAGTGTTGATTGAATGTGCCCGGAGAGAGCTTCATGCTACCACCCGTGTGATAAATGCCAACCGAAATGAACCCCTACGTATGTCCCTGGTATTCTACCAGCACAAAGGCCTGATTCTCCCCTGCCATGGTTTTTATTTCAACAGGATTAAGTTTGAGTCTAAAATTTTTAAGAAAAAGGCTGCAGAACGGAAGGGTCCTGATATATCATCATTTGTAGCCAATTTGCTGTGCAATATTCCTTCTCGTATTGCACCAACCTTAACCCGTGACAATGTTGTCACTGTGTCCCCTTATGCGCTCACTCATGTTGCAGGACCCTACAACCATTGGATCTGAAGGCTTTTTTCCCATAATGCCTCTGCTAGCGCAGTGTAGTTCCTACGGTGCTGTTCAAAAGAAAGTCACATTGTTGTTTACTTCCTGTATCTTCATTTCACCCATTTCAACTCCGAGGTCAAAATTATGAAGTGGGTGGGTACTTAACTGTGACTATTTTGATTGAGAACTGAAGGTATACATTCTCAGCAAAGATAATGGTTTTATATCTTGGTTAGGTGTTGACCATGACAGAATCATAGTTTGGTGCTCAAATTAAGTTTCTTTACTACAAAGAGGATTTTAACAGGTTCCTACAATAAGATGTAAAAACCAAGACACACAGTGTTCGCTCTATAGTTCCTGGTGCTTAACCACATAACATGTAGTAATGAGCTGAATGATTGTTTCATGGTGCCGTCCTTCCAGCATCTTCCGGTCATTGCTATATGTCTGCACATTTGAAATAAACCAATGAAATGCTTTCTCTTACAAGATCTCTCCTGTATAAAATAGTTCTTTATTCTAGTGATGATTGGAGGCTATTCGTTAACTGTAAATATATATATTTTTAAAAGCACTTTCTATTTTTAAAAGTAACTTGAAATAGCATAGTAGCAGAATCCTATTGTCTATTATGTATGCATATTTGCATAGCAGAAAAGTCATTTATTGTGTAGAGTTCCATCCTATTAACTGCAGCCTGTATTTAAATCTGTTCTCTAATCATTAAATCCAAAAAAATTGAAAAAATTTGTATTTGAAATACAAATTACCACCAATATCATTTCCCCCCTTTTAACTAGAAAAGTATTGTCTTTAGTGTCCTTATGATTGATGTTTTCATCATGACACATGTTTTTAATGGTAGAAGGGACAAATTGGGATCAATCAAATCCTCCCAGTGTTTCCACAGGAGAATAGTTAAGTAACTTTTTCCTCCCAAATGAGAAATAATTGAGGGGGAAAATTCTATTACCACTATTGCTTCTGGCCCAGAGTCACATAGAAAAATTTATGCTGTAAGCCAATTAAGAGCCTAACTATTCATTAATCTTAACCTTTTAGGTTTAGGTTATCGACAATTTAATTGGCAATTCAAACTTCTTTGGTAATCCCCATTTTGAAGGTCACAGGTAAAACTGGCATTCTGATTATTTTCATGTTTCAAGGGTCTTGCCATATATATATATATATATGCCAAGAAAGACACCCTAAATAAAACCTAGAACCAAAAGAAATACAAATGCCCAGGTGCTATGACATTCAAAGAATTGGATTTTCCAGAAGTCCAGGAACCCTAATGGTGCTTCTCAGATGCCATACGAAGTCCACGACTATCATCATAATCTTGGTGCAAATGCAAACAGTTCCAGCAAAGCTCTCTAGAGAATAACTTATTAAAATAATATATGGTGCAAAGTTTCTGACTAAGGGAATTGAAGGGGTTGGGATTGTAAATAAAGTGTCCATCAACATTCCATTTGCAAATAGATATGTGAATATATACAGTAGGGTATATACAGTATATGCAGTAGGGTAATTTGTTGACCTGATTATTTTGTGTGCCTTAGATTTCTGTTTAAGAACAAGTCTATTTTCAAAGCCTAGGGTTTCTTACACGTGTAAGTATGTAACTGATTCTTTGTTGCTTCAGCTGCGTCAGTATTTGTTAGTGCGTACTATCAGGAAAGCTCCCTTGTGAAGTTACCTTTGAGGTTTTAGGCCTTAGCTCCCACTAGAAATTGTTTCCTTTCCATGCCATGCTTTTATTCATCCATTCGTCCTCAAATGCACATTTAATTTAACCTTTACGTTTAATTGATCCATTTGATTTTGTTTTTCCTTGAATCACCACCTAGGACGCAATCTAAAAAGGCAATGGTGGTGCACACCTTTAATCCCAGCAGAGGCAGGCGGCTCTCAGTGAGATCTGGACAGCCAGAACGAAAAATCTAAACAAAACAGTAATGATTTCAGACTTGAACCTGCTCTGTAAACCACACTGCCCCGGGACTCACAGATCCATTTGTTTTTGCCTTCTGAGTGCTGGCGATTAAAGGTGTACGCCACCATGCCTGGCTCAACAATGGTCTTATGAAAAAACAAAGTAAATTGCTTTGAGATGACCGAACACTCTTTCTGAGAAGATCGGTCTCATTGTTACATGACCTCCATGGTAACTCAGCTGATGCTCTGAGGACTTTCCTGGTAGACCAGGCTAGCCTACAATTCACAGAAATCTGCCTGCCTCTGCTGAGATTAAAGCTGTACTCCACCCCTCAATAAGCTGTTTTTCCTTCTTGTGCTTGGCAGCCTCATATATCTATCATGTATATGTACCTGGTACCAAATGAACCACGTCATTAGCTTCATTGAAATATATTGTTGGGACATGAGGCTAATAGAGGTGAACTCTTGCAGCGTGTTAGCAGAACTGCAATAGGTGGGAACTGAAGGTCAGTCACCCGTCACTTAGCTGAATGATGTCCTCCTGTAGCTGACTTGATTCACAGGAAGTCAACTACTTTCTAGTACTTTTACTCCTGATCAACATTCCACAATAGCATGTACAAAGCTAACATGTTGAGTGACTTCTATGTGGGATAACGCTGTGACATCACTGACGTCTTCCATCGATCGTGGGCACATTTAGCTGGAATGTGCCAACCGAGGAGGTGGATGCCATCTTTAACAAAGTTGCCTTTAGCTACACCACTCAGTGTATAGTGATGTCGTGATCTCACTGCAATAGGAGTCACAAAGCTCAGGCCCTGTGCCCACAGAACAGGTGGTACCTATCAGCCTGGAATTGCGAGCAGGCCGCTCTGTTCTTAGAACTATAGAAGTTTTCTCACCCCGGGAGTACAGTCTTACTGAGAACTATCCTTATTTTTGCACAAGTCAAAAATAAAACAGCTTTCTGTCCTCCAGGGAGGTTCAGAAAAAGAAAGGTAATGGTAAAATTAGGTCAAGATTCCCTTGACTATCAATGAAAACTAGCCTATTAACTCTTACCTATGAACAAGGCAGTCGGTCCTTGTCTTGGCCATTCTCTCTGGAACCTAGTGTTCAGAGTACTTGAGGACTGAGTGGAAATACGCTGAGGAAAGCGTATTTTCAGTGTATATACTCCCCGGTTGCTCAATTCCTTCCTGCCCCTGCCTAGATAAACGCCAGCAGTTTCTTGTGATGTGGCCATCTTTATAAGTGGGGATGCTGGTTTGTTGTGCATAGCGCTCCCAAGCTTGCTGTGCTTTGTTTTTCCTCCAGTGTGGCATATTTAGCCCTGTGGTATAGTTATTGCTTGGTTGTTTAAGACCTCTAGATTTTTCCAAGTGAAGCAGGTGTTCTCATAGCATGAGAAAATATATAATGCCAATCCTGTTGTCAGGAAGGCCGTTCAGACAGTGAGTCCTCCCACACAATTTGATTCCGTGTGAAAATTCCTGAGCATGCTTTTCTTTTCTCTGTGTAATAGAAACGGGCTTCTGTATTGAGTTGTGGAGCTGGACGTTTAGAGTCTTGTGGGTCTTGTGTAGTCAGTCCTGAACTGTGGCTGAGAAGGTTGAATTTCTTTCTCCTTTTGAAACTGGGTTGCACTATGCAGCCCTGGCTTGCCTGGAGCTTGAGACATAGACCTTGTATGCTGGCCTTGTATGACAGAGGTTCCTCTGCCTCTGACTACACCAAGGCTTGGCGCATGCTCAGAAAGCATTCTTATCCACTTTCCCGCTCTAGACCTTGTTTTTTTTGTTTCTTGTAGTGCTTTTTCTGAAATTCCTACTTTAGATATCTTTATTACTTGTTAGGGTATAGACACAGGGCACCCTGCCCAGATAACTTTTTATTGGTCCCAGTTCTTTTCCCAGATAACCAATAGGCTCAGAATATGTTATTCACAATATCAGTTTGACCCTGAGGCCCTACTGTGTTCAAAATTATCTTGTGGCTGTCTGAAATGCCTCTACAGGGGGTTAATTTTCCTGATTCCTTTTGCACCTTCTGATTTCTTGTGTATTCTGGCTCCACCTCCCAGATCATCCCTTATGCAAATGCGTCTGGTTCATTTAAGTTGCCATTGGTTGGATTCCTCACTCCTGCCTTCCTCTTTGAGACAACATCTCCTGTAGTCCACGCTGGCTTTAAAAGTCTTTTGCCTCAGCATCTTGGCATATCTTTTAAAATGTGTCACAAAGTCCAATCCCTAATTTGGCTCACTCTGTAATCCCAGCTGCTTGAGGGGCTGAGGCAGACAGAGCCCAGTGACACAGTGCTTCCTGACCATGCTGGAATGGGGTCCATCACCCAGGACTGCAGGAAGAATCGAGAGTTAGGAGTAAAGACAATTTAACCCGTGCTCATTCTCTTGTGTGGCTTTCTCAGCCCCATCTGCTATGTTACAACTCAGCCAGGCCATTTTAGTCAATGTTTCTTGTTTCCTAAGGTATATTTATTCCTGAAATTTTTCAGCTATAATAGGGTGATAATAATAATCCTGGTATATATACTCAAAACCCCCAGCTCAGACCTTACAGCCCCGAGGCACTACGCATGATCTAGGTTCCAAAATAAGCTCTGGTGCTTTTCTTTTTAGCACGCCCAGCTTGGAGGCAAGAAGTACCTTTAGCATTTCTTATCTGTTCTCTCCAAAATCTAGGTAATATGTTGAAAACAAATCAGATGTTAAAAAAGTAAGCATTTCTCCCTTGGTATGGTCCACACACTTGTAACACCAGCTCATGGGGAGACTTTAGTAGGATTTGGTAGATTTTAGTATGATTTAGTAGTAGGATTTTAGATTTAAGACCAGCCTCAACTACATGAGATCCTGTCTTAACAACTTTTGATCCCCAATATTGATACCAAACACAGCTCTCTCTCACATATGACTGCTAGTGACAGGAATGGCTAATAGCTTACTCCATGCCACCGAGCAAGTCTAGGAATATAAATAATGTGATTATGGGTGCTTTGCTTCTGTGTGTGTGTGGCCATATTGCAGTGCCCACAGAAGCCAGTAGGGTCCCCTGGAACTGCTGTTCGGTTGTTGTGAGCTGCCATCAAGGCGCTATAAATCTAACCAAGATCCTCTGGAAGAATAACAAGTGCTCTTAACCAGTGAGCCACCCACGAATGAGATGCTCTTAAACTTCAGAGTGCTACATGTAGATATACAGGAAAACCTGAACTAGGGTTTTACTGAATAGAGCTAATAGAAAAATATATAAATTATTTATAAAACATGTTTCTTAGTAGTTTTGTTTCCGTTTGTTTACCTAGCTGCATTCATTCACATTAAAGCTTCAATTCTCATTTGTGCATTAAAGATTAGGTTTTGGGTTTATATTTTATTGTGTGTAGAGCAGGTTCACAATATAGCTCTAACTGACCTGGAAAATCCAACATAGTCCAGGACCAAGTTCTGTGATCCCTAGGTGCAGGGATTGCATGTGTGAACCACCCTATTCAGTGATCAGAAGCATAGAGAATAACCCTTTACTATTCATAGGAAGACAAAATAAATTTTTCACCAAGTAATTTTTTAAATAGGACTTTTAAAGCACCTCACAATCAAAGTTTAATATATTTGTTTAAATTTATTGAGATGAAGGTTTCTTGAAGGCAATGGTGTTTGTTACCTGAACAACTTTAGTTCCTAGCCCTTTATTATAAATACGCAAAATTATCTCTAACAGGTTGTACTGTCTCTAGATTGTATGGTTTGTCTTGTTGGGTTGGGTTTGTGTGTGTGTATGTGTGTGTGTTCCTTCTGCTTCGCTTGTAGCCATATAAATCTTTGGAGCAAATACACATTTACCTAGAGAGTTGGGAATAGTGAGATGTGTTTGTAAAGTTTCTAGTAATCTCCTTAATAGGTTATTTTACCGACCTCTCTATATGGAAGTAGTATATTTTGACTGGTGATTACATTTTTTTGGCACAGAGGGGGAGAGGGAGGGCAAAGTAACCTTGAATATTCAAGAAAGACCCCCTTTTAAGCTGGCCATTACCAGCACCCGTTTGTGCTGGGATCAAATGACTGTATTTGACTTTACAAACACAGCTCATAGAAAAGATTAAATATTTTTATTGCAATGTATGGTCATATTTTTTTTAGCCTTTATGGGGTTAATATTGTGATAAGTGCTTTAAGAGAAATATTTTTCCAGAAATGGTTTTCTAGCTAAAATTATGGGCAGCTTTTGCATTGTGATGGTTATATTTGGTCGATGGTTATATTTGGGTTACTAGGAAATCCTGATGTGTTCCCTAAGGAGAAAGCTGTTCGATTCCATGGCAAACAGAACAACATTAAATTCTAGTTCAATTATTTCTCCACAGTATGAATGAACACGCATGCCATTAGCTTGGTTTGGTTTACAGCTGTATCATTGGTGGGAAGAAAACACTCATTCATGTTCTTTGCCATATGCATACCACAGTGCTGAATTTCCCCTAGGCACATAAGCATTTT